ATATCACACCTTTTATTTAAATTTCCAAAATCTCAGTCTCAAAACTCCGTAGCTAAGCATAGACGATACGAAAACCAAGTACCGGTGGTCGCTATCCGGCACACTACTACATAAAAAAAAAACGGTGTTAAGCCAAGGCGAAATGTAGTCCAATACATAAATACTAAAAAGTGTTAGAGCGACAAATTGCTAGGAGTTTATATTTGCGTGTAATCTCATTGCTGTTATTCGTATGGTTTGTGGTTGTCAGAATTATTTGAATATACTGACTGACATGCACTTCAAGTTTTGGTTGTTACTTGCTTAGATACGTTGTTTGTACTCATGTGTTCTATTTTGTTTGTAAATATATATTAAGTCAATATTAGCTGGCATTCTTTATTTTATTATATATGATCGAGGTTATCTAGTCTTCGATCAGGTTATGGGCCGCATATGATAAATATAAGAAGACTTAAAATATGGCTACACAAGGAAATAGTATGAAGGTAAATTCGAGCAGCGATGGATCGGAGAGATCTCAGCCTTCACACGACACAGGTATGAGCATAGAGAAACTCGATGGAAATTCGAATTATAGTACTTGGAAATTTTTGGTAGAATTATATCTAATTCACGATGATTTATGGGAGTACACACAAACAACGCCAGATAAAACTGATGTAGTAGGCTGTAGGAAAGACCAAAAAGCGAGAGCAAAAATATGCTTGATGGTAAAGCCCCACTGTCTGATTCACGTTCGAAACGCTAAGACAGCTAAAGAAGCGTGGGACGCTTTGAGATCGGCTTTTGAAGATAAGGGTCTTAACAACCGTTGCAGACTTTTGACCAAGTTAGTTAGCCTAAAACTTGAACAATTTACATCAGTTAGGAGTTATGTAACAGAAATAATGTTAGTAGCGCAGCAATTACGGGACATCGGTAAAGAAGTTGACGATGAGATGCTAGCTGCTCTCATGTTACAAGGTTTGACCGAAACTTTTCAACCAATGAGGCTTGCGATTGAAAACTCAGGAGTAGAGTTGACCACAGATTACATAAAAACCAAATTACTTCAAATGGAAGATTCGTATAACACTAGTAGTTCAAGCAGTAATGATATAGCATTGCGTGTTGATACACATAACAAGACTAGGAGATTTCCATACAAGAAGTCACAGAAGATAAAATGCTTTATTTGTAATGGACCACATAAAGCGAGAGATTGTCCAGAGAACTCAAAAAATAAGAAGGCTTCGTTAGCATTGGGACTTGCAACTTCAGGAAAACCAGACGAGTGGATTTTAGATTCTGGGGCATCAAGCCATATGACTAACAGCAAAGAGTATTTAATGGACGTTAGAATGTATGACAAAAAAGTGGAAATCGGATGTGCGAATGGTAGTAAAGTATATGGTATTGGAGAAGGTTCTGTGGTATGTAAGGAGAATGTTGCAGGCGTAAGTGAAGTGATGTATGTACCACACTTAGCAACTAACTTGTTGAGCGTGAGTGCTATTGTAAAGAAGAATGTAGTTGTTGTATTTTCAGCGAAAGGCTATGAACTGTTGAAAGCGGATGGATGTAAGGTTACTGGTGATGTCTTATATACAGGTGTGGAGGATAATGGTGTTTATAAACTTAAGCTCTGTTCACAGGAGAAAGCACTAGCCTCGACTGTCAGTACCATAGACATAGAGTTGTGGCATAGACGTATGGGACATCTTGGTGTACGGAACCTTAAGCTGCTGAGAGACAAATTGGCTACAGGGGTAAGTTTTACTAATAATCCAGTTAACTTACAGTGTAGAGCTTGTTTGATGGGAAAGCAGACCAAACAACCGTTTAAAAAGGGTTTAGCAAACAGAGCTGATGATATTTTAGGTTTGGTTCATACTGATGTATGTGGACCAATGAGTAAAGACTCAATGTCGGGCTGTAAATATTTTCTAACGTTTATTGATGATTTTACAAGAAAAACTTTTGTATATTTTATCAAAAACAAAAGTGAAGTCTTTCAAAAATTTTTAGATTTCAAGACATTTGCTGAGAACCAGTCTGGAAAGAAATTAAAAATTCTTCGATCGGATAATGGCAAGGAGTATGTCAATGAGCAGATGAAGAAATTTTTGAAGCAGTGTGGTATACAACAGCAATTAACGGTTGAGTATACACCCGAGCAGAATGGAGTTGCAGAACGTGCAAACCGCACAATAACAGAAAAAGCTAGAAGTATGATTCAGGAAGCAGAGCTAGATGAAAAGTTCTGGGCAGAGGCGGTGAACTACGCTGTGTATTTAAAGAATAGATCACCGACCATTGCAGTTAAAGGTAAAACGCCAGAGGAAGCGTGGACTGGAAGGAAGCAAGACTTAAGCATGCTACGAATTTTCGGATGCAAAGCGTTTATTCACGTACCAAAAGTAAAACGGACGAAATGGGACGCTAAATCTAAAGAAATGATTCATGTAGGCATCTGTGAAGAATCGAAAGGCTACCGCTTAATAGACCCAATAACTAATCATTTAAGCAAGGCCAGAGATGTTGTGTTTTTCGAGAACGAGAATATAAACTGTAAGCAAACAGTTGAAAGAGTTGAGAAGTCAGCACCGCTTAGTTTTAAGGATAACGTCACAGAATATGAAGATCACATAGAAGTTCAAGATTTTCAAAGAGATCAAATTGAATCGGAAAATGAACCTGTAAATATTGTAAGTAGTAATGATGATGATATTCTGCATGAGAATTTAGAAACAGAAACAAATGAAGAGAGTTCTGTTACAAGAAGATATCCTTTAAGAGATAGAAAGAAGAAAGCGATACCTGACTGCATTACATATCACACAATAGCTGATTGTGATGATCCGCAGAGTGTGGATGAGGCATTGTCTAGAAGAGACAAACACTTATGGAAAGCTGCGATCGACGAGGAGCTTAATGCACTCAAGAAAAATAAAACATGGAAATTGACGTTACCTCCAGAATCTTGCAACGTCGTTGATTCTAAATGGATATTTAAAATCAAAGAAGAGGCAGGGGGAAATAAGAGATACAAAGCACGCCTAGTTGCAAGAGGTTTCAGCCAGAGGCATGGAATAGATTATTTTGAGACATTTTCTCCAGTTATTAGACATAGCTCTTTGAGGACATTGATTGCATTGGCAGCTCATATGAATCTTAATATAGACCACATGGACGTGAAAACCGCATTCTTGAATGGTAACTTGGACGAGGTGGTTTATATGAAGCAACCAGAGGGTTTCGTTGAAAAGGGAAAGGAGAATTATGTGTGCCAGTTGCAAAGATCATTGTACGGACTTAAACAAGCTCCCAGAGCATGGAATAAAAAACTTCATTTGGAATTGCTGAAACTTAAATTCAAGAGGTCTGAGTATGAACCATGCGTTTATATTAGATCTACAGGAGATAAAGTAATTATTCTTGCCATATATGTAGATGACATTTTATTGTTCTGGAATAATGTTGAGGAATTAAGGAAGGTTAAAACCGATCTCACAAACAAATTTGAGATGAAGGACCTTGGCACAGCGAAGTTGATGTTGGGAATACGAATAGCACAAGATAGTGAAGGGATCAAACGGGATCAGAAGGGATACATAGAGAAGGTTATTCGTACATTTGAAATGGAGAACTGTAAACCAGTTGCTACTCCAGCAGTACCAGGACAAAGGCTAGAGAGGCCACAGCTTGATCAAGAACTTGATGAAAAAGTACCGTATCGCGCATTGATTGGTTCACTGATGTACCTTGCTGTTTGTACGCGCCCTGACATAGCACACACAGTAAGTCAGCTCAGTCAGTTTAACAACAGCTACGGAGACGAGCATTGGATAGCTGCAAAGAGAGTGCTCCGCTATTTGATGGGAACCAAGGATCTAGCATTATTCTATAGAAGGGGAAACCAAAATGAGTTTGTATTAGGTTATGCTGATGCAGATCACGCCGGAGACTTTGATAGAAGATCAAATTCAGGTTGGGTATTTTTATCTCAAGGAGGAGCTATTTCTTGGGAGAGCAAGAAACAACGTACAGTGGCAATATCGTCTGCAGAAGCTGAGTATGTAGCGTTATCAGAGGCTGCAAAAGAGGCAATTTTCATTCGCAGGTTTATTGCAGAATTAAGAGATGGACCCAATCCCGCAATCTCAATTTTCACTGATAGTCAGTCGGCTATGGCAATTGCTAAGAATCCTGTACATCACCAGCGTACGAAGCATGTGGATGTAAGATATCACTTTGTACGTGAGGCGATTGAGAATGAGGTACAAGGAAACTAATAGAATGACAGCTGATGTTTTGACAAAGTGTTTGTTGAGAGGTAAATTTGAATGGTGTGTGAAAAGCATGGGTTTGAGTTGTGTGTGAATAAGATGGCTGTTTATATGGTAGGTACACTAACAGGCATGAGATTAAGGAGGAGTGTTAGAGCGACAAATTGCTAGGAGTTTATATTTGCGTGTAATCTCATTGCTGTTATTCGTATGGTTTGTGGTTGTCAGAATTATTTGAATATACTGACTGACATGCACTTCAAGTTTTGGTTGTTACTTGCTTAGATACGTTGTTTGTACTCATGTGTTCTATTTTGTTTGTAAATATATATTAAGTCAATATTAGCTGGCATTCTTTATTTTATTATATATGATCGAGGTTATCTAGTCCTCGATCAAAAAGTTAAAAATATATTTTTAAAGCAAGTTTATGTTGCTTGTTAAAAAATCTAATAGGTTAAAGAAAAATACCATTTAATAGGTACATTATATTATTTTTAAAATAAAGCGTGTTACATTTTGTCGGCTTGAGAAACGAAAAGGTGTAATGCGCTTTTATTAAAACAAATGGGATATAATGTACTTATAAAATGGTATATTAATTCTTATCAGACTTAATTATTTTTTGCTTTTTTTACAAACAATAGAAGCTCGTTCCTTATATATATAAATATTTTATTATTTATACCTTTCTATTTCCTCCATTTCGCTTTTGAAGTAAGTAGGTACCCATTAATTAAATATTGGTTTCAATATAGGTAATAAAATAATGGGTTTTGGGTTTATATATCAAATCTTTATTTTCACTATTGGCGACTAACAATAGTTGAGTCGTCAATTGTAAAAAAAATCAAAATAATAAAGTGAATTTACGATTTTTGAGGGTCCAAATGTTTAGAGAGAATTAACACTTTTTTGTTCATTATCCTTATTATTAGCGTTATTAGTGTATGTCAGACGTGCGAGCGCATGTTGATGTCGTCGTGCCGTTCTCGCTCCGTCTCGCGATGGTCGCCAGAGACCCGTGCGCCAGCCGATGTTCCAGCCTCGTCGTGCTCGCGTTTGATCTGCGCGTGCGGCGCTGATGGGGCCGATTGCACCAAGCGTCCCATCAGACTGGCGCTCTTATCCTTCCGCGGCCGAGTCCACTCGTGAGACAGCACACGGTCCAATGTCAAGCGCAATGTTATATCTGGCTCCAGAATATGACGTACTATAGACTTCGCCGCTGCCGACACAGAATCACGAATCCTCGAACGAAACACCCAGTTCCTAGACATTTGATCCTTCAACAACTTACGCAGATTGGAGTCATCAAATGGCATCGACGCATTCAACATTATGAACAGGATTATACCTAAAGACCACACGTCTGCCAGCTTGGGATTGTAAGGTGTTCCGCTGACCACCTCCGGAGCGGCATACGCAGCGGATCCGCAGTAGGTCTGGCTGAGCACTCGTCGGTTTTCTCCGTTAGTACAAAACCTCGCGAAACCAAAGTCCGCCAGTTTGACATTAAAGCGTTTCGAAAGTAGGATGTTTTCGCACTTTAGATCGCGATGAGCTATATTTTTACTATGAAGATACTGTAAACCGCTAGCCATCTGTCTAAACCACAGTTTTGCTTGATTTTCCGGCACAACGCCGTTATGTTTTATGAAATCCAACAAATCACCGTTATCTGCATATCGCATGAAAATAAAAACTCTCGGCCCCCTTTGAAGAATACTGTGCACTTGGATAATGTGGGGATTCTCGATCTTGGTTAAAATATCGAGTTCTCGTGGAAAAAACTTCTCTAAAAAATCACGTGGTGCTTTCTCTTTGTCAAATATCTTGCAAGCAAGGTGCATTCGCTTGGGGGTAGATGCATCGCAGTACTCCGCCAGATGAACAGTGGCATACGATCCTTGTCCGATTTTCTTGCCGATAAGATAGCCCCGTTGTTCTAAGGCGTTCACCTCGGAGCTTCGAGGGCTGAGGCGCTCAGCCATTGAGCTCTATCGACTTTATCCTAACCCGTTTAGGATACATTGGACATCTCACAATTCACAGTATGTCCAAGGTTGCGGCCGCCCTTCTGTCAAAATGTTTACTCTTCGCCTGATTATAGTTTCACACTCAACTCTCATGAAAGAGAGTGAACCAATATTACAATACAATTCGTTAGAGCACGCACAAGATTTTGTAAAAATGTTGCGACATCACAAAGAATTTGGATTATATAAAAAACGCTTTCACTAGTAAGAAATCTCCCAAAAAGTCATATACGCTACATGGATGAAGGTTTGTTCTTTTGTTTCTAAAATTGAAAAAATAAGTGACATATGCAATTGCGCCTGTTTAGTATTTGAAGAGTTAAGTATCGACTATTAAAATTAGACAATCGTGTATCTATGGTTATTAAAAGTTACCATTCTGATCAGGACTGCTCTATCCTGCACACTGCTACGCTGCAGGCCAAGGCAAGGCCATTTCGATAACCACTGTATAGCAGTAGCTGTAAAGGAAGGAGCGTTTTAAATAGTCATGTCGTGCGATCATTAATTCGAAATCCATAAGAGCCTGCGCTGCGTTAAGCGGGGCTCGGAGCGTCCGCTCGGCGTGCAGTTTATGTCATTTCATAGAAACCCGCGGAGCGGGAGACTCACCTCACGCCGCGCTGTTCTATGAAATAACATAAAACAAACACGCCGAGCGGACGTCCGCTTCGTGCTTTGCTTAACGCAGCGCACGCTCTAAAATCAATGTCTAAAGATGTATCAATACTTGCAAAACAAGATCAAAATTAAGTTGATACTTTAGAATAAAACTGAAAAAGAGGATCCGTAACAATTTTAGTTGAGAATACAGATTTATAGAGCTAAGGATTCCTTGAATACAGAAGTTATTTTTTTGTTCTACAACCAATATGGACGAAGTTATTACCAAATTACTAACCTAATTTTCGGCTGGCCACGTGGTGGCTGTAAAGTCAGCAGTGCTATTCTGTAAAATTTTCACGGATCCGCATCCGACGTGGACCTGCAAATCCGCAATCCGATCCTGAAAATTTTACAGAATAGCACTGCAGTTACCTGAAGTTCGACCGGCTTCAGCATCTATTCGAACCAAACATTCAGCCGAATTTGACATTCGGTAGGATCCACATTCGGTGCAACTATACTGTTAATGGTGTCGATTCAAAACTTAAAACTAAAACACTGGTGCCGATTCTAGCATGATTCTCTAAACCTAAACTTAAATTTGACAGCAGTATATCCTTGTCATTCTCTATAAAGAATGAAAAGGAGAGCCTGATATTAAATTTAGTTTTAAATAAAAGAGAATCACGCCAGAATTGGCACCATCATCTCTTCTTTTCATTATGATTCTGGGGATGGGCTGTCAGACATTTTCTTTCTTTTGGAGCATCTGCTCGTGGGTACTCTTTGCCTGAAATTTATATTTCTAATCCCAATAAATAATTTTAATAAAACGGAACAATACACATTATTTGATCCTGTTTGAATACCAGCGATTTGTATTTTGCCAGCGAATGTAATAAAATACCTAATCAATTAGAAAGAATCAGTAAAGTATCAAAGGTATTTTAAGGCTTTATGGAGTCCCCTGGAAATATTTTAGTTAGTCGTGACAATGAGAGAAAGAAAAACTTTAAAATATGTTATGTTTTTATTTATTTTTAAGCATTTAACTGCTAGATGTTTAAATCTAAAGAAAAGTCATTGTGGATTACCTACAATGCGAAGAGATGGCGCTGCCTTACAGCTTAAGGCTAGGAAAATTTCGACTCGGCGAATAGGGCCGTGGTAGCATAATGGTCAGTGCATTCGCCCGGATAGCGAAGGGTGCGGGTTCGAGTCCCGTCCGCTGCCTGGTCCGCTTGGATTTTTTTCTAGTAAACTTTTCTTTAGATTTAAAATATGTATTTCAAGTATTACGTAACACAAATTTTGAAGATTTTTGAATTGATTTTGAAGTGTTCTTAATGATATCAATCAAAGGTAGGTTAAACTATTTATACGGATTTTATACGAATTTGTTAAAAAAATGCCATACGGATTTCACGGAATTCAGCAATGAAAATAACGGAAACACCGGTTTAAAAATTTGGCATCACTGCGCTTCACGCTTGCATTCAAAAAAATATAACCGCTTTTTTGGCAGGATTTCATGAAGTGCGGTTGGCGTCTTATTTTAATTATACTTCATAGTCATAGTCATAGTCATAATATTTATTGCTTCAATACGTTTATAGTGCATATTGTGGAATAAAATTGGTGATTTTGTGTTACAACCGTCTGCACAACTGGAAAGTTAGTGGAATCTTTAAAATATATGCTATTCCGGTCAAATGAATGTGAGCACTTTATTGCAGTGTTGACTACCTAATAGAAGCTTATCGAGAAAGCTGACTTGATATATTTCGTGCGAAACCCTCCAAGAAACATTAGAATGCGTCATATCATCATTCTAAAGTAGACCACAAAAAAAACCGAAATCTAGGCTGTATAGGCATAGTTCCCTTTGCTTTCCCTAAAAGGGAGAACGTTAAAAAAAGAATTTAATTACATTATCTTTGTTGTGACAAATTGACAACTTGTCGTTCTTTTCTTGCTTGACTTTATTTAAATATTTTATTGCTCTATAGAAATTCAAGATAAAAATTTACACAAAATGTATTTAAGATATTATTTCAATGAGACTGGAGACAGACAATACACCTTGGCGGTATATATTAAAAGTTAACATTAAATAACTTACATGTAAGTCAAAAATTATGAAATTGATTGTTTACTTTTTTTCAGACTGTGGATCCTTATGGTAAACCAACATTATCAGCTCATCCAGGTAAACAAACTTTAACATATAAAATATGTAGTAGTTATTTTTTTAACTGATGCATTTTCGTCTTGGTTAAATTATAACCTACATACACGGATTTAAAAAAAAGATCTGTGCCTACATAGAGTAAGTACTCGAGGCTCTTGCTAGAAACTCAAACTTGAATTATTGAAACAATTTATTTGTTGATTAACAAATGTTTATTTGCAATATGCGCCTGCGCAGACCAGGGACTTTTGTACAGGGAGGACTCAATTGTAAAAAAATGTCTGCTTAGAACTTGCCATGGACTTAACATATATGGTGTGCGAAAATTTGTAATAAATAGTGAAGACACTTTTAAGGAGAACTGGGTCCATCTCTTTAAATTGTATCGAGCGAGCACTACAGGCTTAAGTTGGCTGTGTGTGGCTGGGTCCTGTCACATGAGTTCTATGTTTTTCGGAAGACTTGTGTTCTTTTGTAGAATACTGTCTCTCTGTGTCCTCAGTTGCTTTATGACTTTTTTATGTGGTAATTTTTTACAAAAGAAATTAAAGCACTCAATTTGTCTCTGTTTAAATTTAAGTTAAAAAGCTGGTTACTAAATAACGTCTTCTATAGTCTTGATGAATATTACACTTGTAAAACTTTATATAATTTAGGCTCTAAAATGTATTTTTTTTAATTGAAGATAATTAGGTTATAAATTTTACCATTGCTTGCCTGTTGTGGGCACACGGTTGTGACTGTTTATTATTGCAATTCAAACTGCAAAATTGTACAGTTTTTAAGCAATAAAAGTTATTTCTATTTCAATTTATATATCCCTCATGTACGTTACTCTATGCAGTTCTGTCATCTATTTTGGCAGACAAAAGTCCTTTGTCTGAGCAGGCTTTAAATGTATTAAGCAAAAGGTCTGCATTGTTCAATAATAAAATATTTTAAAATACTTTGGTCCATTACAATATTGATTTCCTCGAAATGTAAATATTGTGTTGAATTCATCCTTGATTGTTCAAAAATTGTAAAAGTAAATTTTTTAATATTGTACTTTTCAGCACGATTTTCACCAGAGGATAAATATTCTCGGCAAAGAATTACGATCAAGAAACGGTTTGGTCTCCTACTCACACAGCAACCTGAACCTATCCAGTGATGGTTAGCAGTGAATCTAGTTTTATCAATACAGTTGTTTCTAATGTTCACAAATAAATATACTAATAATAAATATAATATACCTTAAGGCATTGTCCATATTATTGAACCCTCAAATGTAGTTTTTCATTTAGGTAGAAATTACACCTTATGGCAGGTAGAAATTAGTGTCGCTGAGCTGGATTATAGAAGATGATTCTATGTAAATTAAATACTGTAGATTGAAAATGTTGCTGAAGGAAGACTTGAATTTTATTTTAAAAACAAAAAAACTGCATTCTTAGCATTCTAAAAATTCGCCCTCCTCAACCAGGAGACAAACCGCAGAAATTTCTGTTCTGTGAGTCAAACCTATTAAATACTGATTGTAATTGAGTTGTTCCATTGTTTACTCTGAAAGTACTTATCAGATCTGCACTGAATTAATAAGGAATGGTCCCGTCCCTTACCATAAAATTGATACAAACAAAAAAAATTATCATCATTTCAACTAAAGCTCACAGATTGGCAGAAGGCATAATTACATATTTTTTAGCGAGGGCCTCATAAAAATTAACCATTTAATTGATTGACACCATTGTGTGTCCAAGTTGCTGTGAAATTGGCACAATCTCCTGTGTTACTCTCTCGTGATATGACGGGCTATTGTGAATATCAATATTGATATTGATAAACCTATTGAGCTTAAAAGCTTCAAAACAATATCTGGAGCTAAGATGCATATGGGCGGATGTGCAGATCGGGAAAATTTTTTTTATTCAATAATAAAGAAAAGCGCTTCTTTCTCTTTTCATAGCACTATGAACTGTATTTCTATCCCTTTTCTGGGCTAAGATAATTCCGTGCATAATGTCGGTTCTTACAGATTTTCTAAAATCATTAGAACCTAAAGGTTTTATTTTCACTTCCTTCTCTCTGCGTCTACATTGCTGTATTTTTCTTTTGGTGGATTGAAAGTTTGGCCCTTATGCTTAAAAAAAATATTCGCTCCAAGGCTACGTAAAAGGAGTCACGCCTTTATGGTTCAAACAGTGATTTAAAATTTTCATCGTAACTAAACTTCCGACATTATGCATCTAAGATTCCTTTAATAACTTTAAAAAGGTTGTACATATACGACTTTATGCCTTTTGTTTTAGTAACTTTGTAAATGCATAGGTGGACCAATGTAAAAATAAATCGTTATGGTTGTGAACTATTCAAAATATGGCGCCAAAAAATTAGCGACATTGGGCATTATCGGCCACGGCGTGTCTAATGACTAACACTGAATCAGTTTAAGAGTAATGAGATACTTTGTGATTTTTTGTGGTTTGTCGTTGCG